CCTAAAAACAATAGTATTAATTACTTGAAACCTATTTACATATTTTATATCACGTTAATAAGGATCAGTAAAATAACTACAATAAACATTTGTTTGAGATCATGAATCGGTCAATGCTAGACCACCATCGGAAACCCCAAAGCATTAGATGGTCATTTTGTCCTAATCTAGGACTTCGATCCTGTAAAAATTCACTATCATGCACATGAGAATAGAACACAGAACCTATTGTCTCAAGTAAGAACGTTCAATCTCTAAATCAATGAGCCGACATCCAATGGTGTTTATGTTTGTATTTAGCCACAGACAATCTTCTAGTCACGCTACTTTAATGCTTCGTTTACATGATTGAATAATCATTGAAAATGCATCATATCATGCGCAAAATTCTTTAGTTTTCTACTTATCCACATCTATGCTGATTATTTATTTAGGACTAAAGAGTGGCATAGAAATAGTCATGCAATACGAGAGTCTAAATTTAAAAATTATTAAATAGATGAAGGTTTGTTTCTCCAACAGTTGCATTTTCACAGTTACTAGCGAATCAGCTGATGACGGTGTGAATCTATGTCGACCAGTGAAAAGGACATATATATATTGTACAGGTTCAACCAACATCCAAACCGACTGCTAATGTCCACTATAGAAATATGGTGAGAACGAAATCAAGTTAATTCATCTATCCTCTGAAGTAGTAAATTGTTTTTACGAAATACAATCTGATCTGTATCTGTTTGATAATCATAATCAATAGCTGAAGATCTTAAGTAAAAAATAATCACAGATACATTTAATACCTTTTATTCTTCCGTATCTCATGTTCGAAATTATTCCATATAATTTTATTACTCCATCTTACTTCCTTTAAGTATAGCTTCAATTTTTTTTGTTATTATCATACTATACTACTTATTTTTTATACAGTTGGTTAATATATTCATTCTGTACAAATTCAGTATAGATAACTTGTATTATGTTTTACATTATCTACAATCGACTTTATATTTATTAATCAATAACCTTGTAGAAACTATTCATCAGCCCTAAAGTACAATAATCCACTGATAAATCAAAACAGATAATATAAGTTATATTCACACACACACACACACATACACACAAGAGAAATATCTGTACCTAGTTTTCTTTTAAAAATAAATCACTAAAAACATTTTTCTTCTGTAAAGCATGTTTACTTTAAATGTTTAATTCTATTTTACATGTAATAACAAGAAAACTATGAATAAAATAAAACTTTTTAACCAAAATAGGTGTATCGTCGGCTTCGATAATCTTTTTTTTTTTAAAAAAGAAAGAAACTGTATCTGAATGTCAATGAGTGATATTTTTAGACGCCCATCAATTTAATTCACTTGGTATTGTTTTACTTGAACCTAACCATTGGTGTTTAGGACTTCAATTGATCAGTCTCTTATTGACATACGTGCATACTGTGCATATTGCCTTAATTCACAAGTATTATAAGCAAAGATGGATAGTAGCTATCAGTGTTTCTTCTTATTTAGGACTCGTCATCTGGATGTACCTGCATCTCAGAGGTAATGTTCACTCAGAGACTCAAACCCAGTACCGTTCATTCAAACGCGACCCACTTAGAACGAGGCGTCCTGATAACCACTCAGTAGCTAAGTGGATAACTTGATGGCGTTTGAAGCCGATGGTATGTGATTCGAGTCTTGGAGTGAACATCAACTCTGAGATTCAGGTACATCCAGCTGACGAGTCCCAAATAGGACGAAGCGTTCATACTGGATTCCACTGCTAACTACTATCCATCTTTGCTTATAATGCCCATCTATTTACGTAAAATATTCAAATAAGAAATGTAAAAAAAATTTCTTTATGAAATTTCTATTTCATTGTAAAATTTTCTTATCAGTAATATAGGAACACAAATAAAATAATTTCATTTTCAATATTAATATCCCATAAATAAGAACTCTCGTCTAAATTTGATCCAATTGTTTCATAGTATTTGGGCGCAGAGTTAATGTGAGACATTTGTAGTGACCCACTTTTATCAAGAGAATGCGAATGGTGTAATGGAAACAGTTACTATTATAACCAATTGTACCAGGGATTGTTTAACTGTACTAAAACCACACATTATTCGTTGCTTGTGACCTTTCACGAACTTACGTTCGCTCAGTAGTTCCACTTGCACTATTTTGGAACGATCTCGGTATTCTTTCGATACCACGAGATCGCCAACAAATATATTTTGCTACAACCTTCAATCGCCTTCTGATTTCTGGTTTACTCTGAGGTTTAGCCTATTCCGGTAAGCAATCTTCTTGTAGTGGTGATCATAGTCAACTGTGACTCGATGCCACACTACACATTAAAGAGGAAGAATATCGTTTGTAAAATCTCAACCAAAGAATTTGAAGTAAATCCAACGTTTCGCCTAACAATCTGGTCCAAGCTTTTTTAAGGATTGTCATGTGAAACTTTGGATTTACTTCAAATTCTTTCGCTGAGATTTTACAAATACATTCTTCCTCATTAGTATAGCATGTTTAAATATAATAAACAACTTTTTTTTACAGTTAATCAATTTAGATAGAGCTTAACACTTAAGTTACCGGTTCGTAATTATTAAATAGTTGTTTATCTTTATTAATGAATATTATTACATGTATTTAATAAGCTCAAACTGGAGCATTTGATTTTTTAATTTAAAGTATCAATTAAATAGGCTGTATAACAACCTCAATAGATGTAATCCGAAAGTAATCAGTGACCAAAGTAGGTTTGTATGTTATTTGATCCCTCAGTATTCGAAAACCCATGTTAACCACTAGTTTCGAATTTAAGCATAATAAATTTCTGAACTGAATCTGCTTTGTTATCCATCTCAATTCCATGTGACTATGCATCTCTTCAATCTCCCTTTAATAAAAACACTTTTCTAACAGAGGCTATATACACGCGAATGTGTAAGAATAATTTGAAGATGAAAGGGGCTTCCTTCTCCAATTCATAACACGGTGTTATAGGGTAAATGGTAGCTGTTTAGGGTTAAGGCATCATGCAGTCCAGTTGTTTGAGACGTTATCAGTTATAGTCATAAATGAAAAAAATAATTAAGGTCTGGTCTTTACTTTTTATTGCATTCTTTAAATAAGTGAGATGAACATTTTAGCAAAATAAAATTATCCTATTTGTGTTTTCTTTTAGTATGCTCTGATTAAATTTGATTGGAAATACTATAGGTTCCACTACGTGATCTTGTAGAAGTTGTTTGTTCATCGAAGGGACAACTAACATGAGATCAAAATAAGTAGGAAATTAGCTGTTGTGATGTAGCAAATCAGTTCACTTTTGTTTATAAACACCTTATCCAATTATAATTCGGTCAAAATTACCAAGTTATATTACTCATATCTGAACTTTATGTTTAGATCAATGTTTTAATTTACATTTTAACTAAGGACAGTTCTAAAAATCTTTACTAATGAAAATATCTGAGATCGAAAAAATTAAAACAGCTGTTGAAAACAAGAAATATTTTGACGACTATTTCCTCCTAGTAGTAGACCCCTAACAGCACCATTCTACAACCCCACCGCAATTAAACCCGAAAACTTCAAATATCGCTGAGATAGCTTAACCATGAGATAAGACATAAGAAATTAGGTTTCTAAGTTAAGGAGTCATTTAAAGAGATAACGCATTGAAAACATCACTCCTCAAATTTTGCAACCGTTTAAGATAGGGCCATGAAGAACATAAAGATGTTACTAGTGTAGGATCAACCACTGAGATGTACTTCGCATGAAACGTCTTAATTGTTTGTGCTTTCCGAATGGCTATGTAAATGATTGCTAAAAACAAGGTCCCAGCGACTCCGAATGCTTAAGAGATGAGAAATTAGTTACATTGGGAGCAACTATATATCCTGATTACGAAGTACTTCCGAGGATGTTTTAAGAAAACGAGATTTGTAAAATGCTATGAGTCAGTATTTAAGAGGATTAAAAACAAAATTTACGGTAAAGGGATCTGTTTTCAACGAATTAATTATTAAACTTTACAATTACATATATTGATTCTGTGAGCGCATTTGAACCATAAATAAACATGATGAAGTAATAGAAAGATTACGTAGTGTAAACAATAACAATAAAAGAGTGTGTGTGTGTGTGTGTGTGTGGGAATAAAAAGCTTTACAAACTTAATAAGTCAACAATGGATTGTAATTTGAATGGAGTGAGATAGTTAAAATGTTTTTGTTACACTAATTAAAGATATTCGAGGGATTAAATGAAATAAAGTGATGTCAGAAACAATTATGAATAGATTTGTGGGGATATGAGAAACAAATAAGAAGTGAGAAATACTATCAAATACGAAATCAATGGAACAAATATGTGATAATAGTTTGAGTAGATTTGCACTTATTCGATAAACATCCTGTAGATAAGTGAAGCGATTTAGATCTAATTTATTCTAATCACTATAGGTTGTTTGTTTATAAATACTTACAAATCTACTCAAACTTCTTCATGTTCAACTACTCAAAACATCCATGAAACGAAACCGGAACTGTACGTACAAAACAAGTATTTTTATCGTTATCTTCACAGTGGTCTTGAACTATTATCACATTTTGGTTCCATTGATTTCGTATTTGATAGTATTTCTCACTTCTTATTTGTTTCTTATATTCTCACAAATCTATTCATAATTGTTTTTGACATCACTTTATTTCATTTAATCCCTCGAATATCTTTAATTAGTGTAACAAAAACGTTTTAACTATCTCACTCCCTTCAAATTACAATCCACTGTTGACTTATTAAGTTTGTAAAGCTTTTTATTTCCACATACACACACACACACTATTTTATTGTTATTGTTTACACTACGTAATCTTTCTATTACTTCATCATGTTTATTTATGGTTCAAATGCGCTCACAGAATCAATATATGTATAATTGTAAAGTTTAATGATTAATTCATTGAAAAGAGATCCCTTTGATGAATTCCGTGTTTCAATTTCGAATTACATCTTTTCAGAAATCGATATGCCCTAATTTTTGTAAAATCTAACTTTGATAACCTCAATTTAAGTATTTATTGGGAAGATTAAGTACAATAACAGAAATTATCTGAATAAAGAGAGGCAGTTACTTAAATCTAATTTACTAATAATAATTATTTATTGTACAATTAAAATGATTATCTAACCCAGAAATCACTGACACCTTCATTTACTTAAGTTTGATTGATCACTTTTGTGTATTACGGCTGTAAATACTCCTCGGTTTTCCCAACTACATAACAATTTAAATATACAACTTAAAATTTGATAATTGAACATTTTAACTGCTAACTTGATCATCAAGATCTCTCTCTCTACACACAATGTAAACGTACAAATACACAAATAATTGACATACCTGAATTCATTACACATGTACAAATTATCAATACTTTTCTTTAGAAATGAATACGTTTATGAAAATGGTTTAAAAAAAGAAATACAGTCTATGCACAAAATGTTTACTATTACACATAAACAAGGAGATGGTACACTTAGAAATTTTAAAACGATATTAATTCATATAAATGGAAAAGTATTATGTTAATACTTTTTTAGAAGAAAAAACAAAACAACAAAAGAAGTATGATTTCACTAGTTTAGAGATTACATCATAATTTTATGTATACATTCTTGTTTTATTTGTCATTGTAAAAAATATACATTTTACATATATCTTTATAATATTCAAGATATTTTCAGTTAATGATTGAAAGAACCAAATAATATAGATTAATCTTATTCATGCTTTTTAATATTTCCATTTGTATGAATGTCTATTGAATTGTCATCGGTCTAAATTAAAAGTAAAACAGAAACAGAAAATAAGTGCGTTAAGAGTAGAAATGTAAACAATAAACAAAACAAGAGATTACTTCAGTACACAAATATATACAAATTTATTGAATGATTAATATACACACAATAGTTAATAATCAGTGACTAGTCAACACGAGGAGGTTGATCATCGCCCGAATAGCTCAATGGTTACAAATCAGACTCATACTTGTGTGACGATAGCTGAAATCCCACATATCATCCACCTCACAATTATAGGTATCCCTTACTAACAAGTATCAGCTAGCATAGAACCTAGGACTAATGTTTTCTATTAATTCCCTCCAACCATAAAACATTGGTGCAAGCAAACAACTTAGGAAAATTAGAAATTAGAGACTTTTTTCATATGAAATGAACAACTAACGGTTGTGATACAGTTGTTGATACATTTTCATAAAATCAATAGAATTAGTACATCCATTCAATATAAATAATAATTGAAAACTTAATTCGCAATCAATACGAACATTTTCTATTCATTTGGTAAATATGTTCATGATTTACGTAATAATTATGATTTATTTACAAAAGTAACTTCACCATGATTGAGATGTATTGTAATTATCCATTCACAGAAAAAAGCCCACAGCCGAAGCTCCATGTGATACTTCACATGACACTCTTCTCATTAAACATTCAACCTTGGAGATCTGAAAACACTCAAGTTCTAGTGTTTACACCATATAAAACAACATAAGAAAAATACAACAGTTAAGAAAATTCAGTAGAAATAGGCATATCAGCAGAGAGATGAAGACAAGTTTTGGTAGGCCGATACGATGTATTCTAAATACAAGAGAAGTTAGTTGTTTCACAGGATTGTGATGAATTCTAATTTAAAGCACCTTGAAATATTAATCACTGAATTCCAGTCTCTTGAAACCTGAATCCATATAACTTACAATTCCCTTTGTGATTGACGTTAAGCAACAATAATTAGCCTAGCAGTTTACGACTCTCACATTCATCATCACAGTTCAGTTAGCTATAAATGTCTACATCTAACAAAAGTGTCGAAAATAAAGCTCTAGTGGAATATTTTTACCGATCGTTACTTAATTTTATAACTTCAAAGTCATTTTATTCATTGTTATTAAAGTTATGGAGAGAGTTCGATTTATGCAACAAGTAGAAAGCCCTAAATCTAGTAGTTATATTTCTTAACATAACTTATTCACCGGGTATAGGTTTATTTATTTAGCTGGATGTTACGCTTCTTTATGAACTCTGGTGATTCTACCAATCTCGCTAATACTTGAGTTAAGTGAGAATGGGACCTCTAACCTAAAAGTTGTAAACCGAGTTTTGGCTACTAGGTCGTGACTGCACTTGGGACGATTCACACCTGTTTGAAATAATTATGTGAAAATTATATTTGAAATAATCTCAGCGATTGAAATTTAAATAATATATATAATTTTCACATATAACGACTTCTCTATACTCGGCGCCCAATTTTTGTCAAACTATTCGTTCTAATCTTTACGAATATTCGTATAGATGCATGTGTTGTCTCCGACAAATTCAGCCGTTAGTAATAATATTAAATACTACTAATTCATATGAGTGCCGATCAGTATTAACCTGCTTTCACTATCCTAACTACTACGTGAAATGTGGAGACTGAGAGATTATCACTACTTTACACATACACACACACACACTGAATCTACGCCAATGAAGTCAATTCTTAAGGATGTTTCAAGCTTCTTATATGCTACACACAATTCGTACAATTCGCATGACTGAAGTGCATCCATTGTAAAGGGAATAAACGAGCAACCACCCACTAACAGTTTTAGTGAAAGCAAGGTATATTAAACAATTGCAGTTGTAATAAATAAATAACTTTTTAGAACGTCACATAAACTGTTACTATTTACACCGAGAAATAATGTCAATCAGATAATATCAACAAACACTTCATCCTTTATATTGACCAATATGAACAACAGTATACAAAATTTCGACATGGAAAATTCCCAAATAGTAAATCATGAAATAGAACTAGCTAATTGACTAATAATATCAAAGGTCAAACAAGTTATACGGTCAAGGACTATAATTGCTTAAAAATCAGACATAGGAAATGTACAACGATAACAATTTCAAATGACAACCAATCATAAGTAAGGTCATAGGAAATAAGAAAAATTTATTTGACATATGTAAAGGTTAAATAAACAGACTCATTTAACTGCAGTTGAAAAAAAACCGTTACAATGAATACAATTTTTCTTTTCAAAGAAATTCCTTCCTTTGAAGTGATTGATATTTCATATCATGCCTACACAGTCTACAGTAGAATGAATGGATTTTCATTCATAATTTGTGTTGTTCAATTCATCTCATAACATGCAATATTTTCCATATACAGATTAATAAATATGACAGAATGAGACGTTTATTGAGAAATACACATAGGAAAAATAATAATTTTTCGTCTTTAGAACACTGTTTATAAATATGATAATTAGTATAATCTTAAATAATTAGATTAGTGTATATACACGTTAAGATAAGAAGCCAAAACGTGTTCGAGATTGTTTATTTTTACTTATCCCTTAGAAGAGATGTATAAAATGACTCATACGACCTAACTTTAAAGGAAATATGTTTAAACAAAAATCAATTTTATGGTGAACAAATCTATATATCTGCCTTTGTTTCCACCTGCGCATATTCATCAGTATGTTTTGTGCCTGTTCAATAGAAAATACGATAAAAACTGTTGTTCCTATGAAAAAAAAATAACGTGAATTGAACTTTCCACTGACAGAACTGTGAAAATTTTAGAAAAGATTTTTGTCTTACAGTGTGATAAACGTTATTCTATCAAGAAAAAATTTGACTACATTTGGGCAATATAAGTAATAATTCCGTTTGTAGGTCTACTAAGATTGGGCAACAACAAAGGTAAAAGCTACACGAGAAGGAAATATGAAACAACAATATGACATGACGAAGAAACTAGTAAGGAACTATAGTAAACCAGAGAGACCAGTCAAGGACCAGGAAGGTAAGCCAATCACTGAGATTCAAGAAGAGAGGAACAGATGGGTAGAACAATTCGAGGTATTCTTGAATAGATCAGCTCCATCGAATCCACCGGATATCTAAGCAATACACACCGACATTTCTATAAATATCACTCCAATAACGATCAAAGAAATCAGGGGTTGTATAGCAGCTGGACCTGACAGTAAACCAGCCGAAGCATTGAAGCAACTCCAAACATGCTCCACATTCTATTCAAGAAGATTTGGGATGATGAACGAGAGCCAACAGATTGGAGACAAGAATATCTCATTAAGATACGAAAGAAAGGAAATCTGAGCAAATGTGATTAATTGTAGTGTCGGTTGCTATGTAAAGCCCACATAACTTATTCTAGCTTCCGGACAAGCCAATTTATTCATTATTCTTGAGTCACATTTTGACCTTGTTAATTATTCGCTTATCAACCTTGACTGACTATAAATATCGATTCACACTTGGTTAAATCGAGTTGGTTTACACGCCTCTACCGCTCGTCATTTCGTTTCGCTCACATCTCAGATCGTTAGTCTGGACCAACAGTTGTATGGAATATACATATTCAAACCCATTCTCGTATTTCACTTACTTAATTCCGTTATTCACTAACGCGAATCAAATCAATAATTATATATGAGGATTGGCGACATGAATATTTTCATAACAATCATTCATACGATTATATTGAAGTCAGATGAAAAGCCACTAAAATCTACAGAGGCATCGTACTACTTTCGGTACCAGAAAAATTTTTCAACAGTGTTGCTGAACCGGATGAAAGATTCAGTAGACTCCCAACTTCGAGATCAACAGACGGGATTCCATAAGAATCGATCGCGCACAAACCAAATCGCGACACTACGGATCATCGTTGAACAATTAATTCAAAGGGATTCGTCACTATGCATTAACATCCATGAATATGAGAAAGCGTTTGATAGTGTGGATAGGAGAACCTTATGGAACCTTCTTCGACACTCTGATGTACGTGAGATGATTGTCGACATCACATGGAATTCATACGACGGATTACAGAGCAAAGTCATGCATGGAGGACAGTTGACAGACTCATTCCAAGTGAGAATTCGAGTAAGATAAGGCTGCTTACTCTCTCCTTTTTCTCTTTCTTCTGGTGCTTGACTGGATTTTGAAGAACTTGTCATATGAGGGGAAGCACGGAACACAATGAATACCTTGCATGCTACGAGACAATTTTGACTTCAAGTATCACCTAACCCTTCTATCATACACACACACCAACAAACGTAGGTCAAGACAACCAGTATGCCAGAAGCCTCTGAATCAATAAGCCTCAATATATATAAAAGAAAGAAACCAAGATCCTCTAATACAACACAGAGAACACCAACCCAATAACACTTGATAGAGAAACACTGAAATAAGTGGAAATTTTCACGTCTTGGAAAGCACCATTGATGAACAAGAAGGATCTGATGCAGATGTAAAGGTGAAGATTGGAAAATGAAGGGTGGCATTCCTACGGTTTAACAATATTTGGAACTAAAACAACTGACAACTAACATCAAAGTCACAATCTTCAGCACGAACATCAAGACATTTCTACTGTACAGAGCTGAAACTTGGTGAACCATCAACGAAATGTGCAGGTTTATAAACAGTTATCTACAAATGATCCTCAATGTCCATTGAGAGAAAACAAACCAGCTTTCAGTTGAAGAGGAAATTAGGAAAAAACTCTGTAAGTGGATAGGACATATGTTACGGAAATAATCAAACTACATCACGAGGCAAGCACTAACTTGCAATCTTGAAGGGAAACGAAAAATAGGGAGACCAAAGAACACACTGCATTGGGAAACGAAAAACAGACATGAAAAGAATAAATAGCAACTGGAAACGATTGCCTAGGACAGTGTTCAGTGAAGAATGGTGGTGAGCGACCTATTCTCCTCCGCGAGGAGTAACAGATGTAAGTAAATAAGTATATAAGTAATACTTTCTCCGATCGATCGCCGAATGTCAGTTAAATCATTAGAGTCGATTAATTTTATTGATCATCTCGAACATTTCGACCAGCTCACTAGCAACGTCTCTGACAGTGACATTGGATAACGTGGGTTTGAAATCCGCAGTGAATTCATTGGCCCATGATTGTAGACAAACTTTGTTGACTAGTCCCAACTATCAGGAAGTTCAGGTTCGTAGCATGTTATTGTTTGTTTCCAGCCACTGAGCATACACTTTCTCCTTTGTTCTATTCATTTAAATAACCAAGTGGAAGTAGCCAACATATAATAAAAACATACACTACGAAACAACATAATGAACGTTGATTGTTGACATTTATAAGATTCGTAATGCAACTTGGATAGTAATTAATAGTTGTATTTTAGCGAACAGAGCATTCGAATTTCAAACAATAGGTCACTGGTCCGAGTTTTTCCCTACATACTTTGTGTTAAGTATCCTGTTTATATTACGCAGACCTCGTACTAAAGGTATAACTGAAATCTGAGTAAATAAACCGATTATCAGAGAATAAGTAATTATCACTATACATACATTTGAAGTAATAATACGTAATTAAGTAGAATGGTAAACGAGTGAATAAAATCATGCTCAGTAGTATGTTAAAGTGTAGAACAGAACGAAATATGCGGCCACAAAACGTGATCATTAAGTGTAGAGGATACACGTAAGTTACTAATATTTGATCACAGATGTCTTAGAAATATTGCTCGCATCTACTGAGATCACCGGATAAGTAACAGTGAAGTTAGACACTAGGTATTAGAAATGATGGTAAATCAGTTCATGAGGTTGTGAAACTTCATCGACTAAGGTGGTTGGGACACGTACTACGCATTCCCAACTACCGATTATCATGGTGCGCAATGATGATTAGTGTTGAAGACGGATGGAAGAAAGTCAGGAGCTACCAAACCAAAACGTGACATCAGTCAATAAAGTCACTAACTTCTGATCTGAGCCATGTTGTGACATGCAGACTACTTGTTTGGGGACCGTGCGACTACCGTAAGCGGTAGTTCGAGACTGTGTGACATGGCTCAGAATCGATCACAATGACGTAGGTGTGTACATTCTTTGTCTGCCCTTAAACCATGAAATTAAAATTGATTTACACCTTGTTTGTATGAACTAAGGCCTTCTACCTGTATCATATATTTATATGCAATCTTTTACTACCATTGAAGTAACTAATTCTATAAATTTGGTACTTGTATTGTTGTGCTAATGAGGTATGACAACTTGAACCGATGCATATATGTGCCTGGTTCTACGCTGTAGATGACTGACTGACTACTAAATAAAATTTTATCGAGTAAACAAGATTGGAATATTTCCCATTATTGTCTTACATGTTTTAAAGTTATAAATTACTTAAGTTCCTTACGGTTAACATGAACATCGAAGCCATATATCTTAATTGTTAACGGTATTTATTCTTTCTCATTCATATTCGGTTCTCGTGAACAAAATATCTATCGGTAGAAATATTTCAGTGGCAAAGATAAAATCTTAGAAAAAAACGACGAAAAGCATCCATATAAACATATACTTACTGCTTTACACAACCTTTGGTTTTTCGATTTATTATATGCATGGTGATAATGATTATAGAAAAGTAATAGAAGACTGGCTTGATAAAACGCATTGATGTAATAGACAAATTCCTTCAGACCACATTGGTTGTAAAGCGAAATGTAAGAGTAAAACATTCCATAGCTAAATTGAATCTATATGAGTATAAGAACGAGAAAACAAGTATGACATGGAATCGTTTTTCTCTTTCTCTAAAAAAAAATACTTAGAGAAAGAAAAATAATTAGGTATGTTGAAAACTGAAAATTCCCGTTCAATAAATAGCTTCGATTGGTTACAGCCGTTTAACTTACCAACTTACAGTGAATATGATTTTGAGAGAATCGAAAAAAATTTATAACTCAAAATGAAAAATAGAATTGTGTTTTGATGGTATTGTCTAGAAAGACGATGAAAACTTTACAATTAAACCACCTAACTAACAGTGCGAATTCTTGTGAATTGTAGTTTATACGTTGTACAAGTCATTTGCTTTGGTATCTGAATCAAAAATACACTTTACATCTAAGCAAAACGTTATTTACTAGACGCCAAGTCACATGTGTTTTATAAGGATTAGAATAATTGTCTAAGACAGATACAGAGTTATACCTGAAGATCTACCAGCTAAGTTTCAGTTGTTTAAACCAATGAACTACAACATTAAGTAAACTTTATCGCATCTGTGAGCTTTAAACTCGACTTCACCGGATGAACTTCAGAGACTTGGACCGCTGATGAAATTCCATTGCCAATAAAATAAAAAAATCTTCGATAGGCGAAAATTTACTATTGAATACTGTTTATCAAATAAAAACTTCTGGTATCATACGTCATCAGCTGATGTTAGTTGGAAAACCAGAAGGCACCGGATAGTTATTTTGTCCAGATGTGGTAAGTCCTTCAAGAGATCAAACCTAAAACCTTTAAACTCTCACACAAAGTGGTGATGCCATGGATCCATAGACCCGAAGAGTCCCGTTTTAAAAAAACTAACCATCCAGGTCTTTTTCTTCAAGGATTGTCTAAGATCTGTTCCTGATCCATATTGTAAAAATTCAACAACCTCCTTCTAAATACTGAAAGTTGGTACTGTTTGTCGAAAATGAATCCAAGAAAAGGAAAGGAGAATAAAGTACAAAAACGTTTCTTTAAGTATACAAATTCTTTATATTCACCCACGAACTATATAATAATTCCATGTGACTTCATTTTTTTGAGAGAAAATTGAGATGAAATGACTAACGAATTAAAGTTTTTCAGTTCAAATTTATTTCATATAATCAGTTTGAATTGGCCAAAACAATCCTAAAGCATCTTTTTTGCAGTTTTTATTCTTTCTCTTAGTTTTTTGCTTTAGAGTTTCGTTGTTCACTTTATATGAATATAAATAAGTGTTGGATATATATACACTCAAGTTGTAATTTGATAGTAATCAAACATGGAATTATTAAATTAACACTGAATTGACCCTCTAAATACAATTTATACACCTTCTGCCAAATGTTTAATTGATGGTCTAGGATAAACGGACGAATACTACGATCTATTGGCACTTGACAATTTGAAACGCGTTTATGAACAGTTTCAACCATGTAGTATAGTCCGCCAAATATACACATCAGATAAGATATTCCATTTTTTAAATGGCTAAATGTTATAAAATAATAGATAGCAATTGTTCATCACCAAGAAAAAATGTAGTACACAAATTTTAGCTTATTTTCGAACAAAAAAATGGACAAACCATTTGTAGCATTGTTAGGTAACGTTTCCACCATAAGTACTTTCGCCATTTAGGTCCAAGAGCTGCAAATGCATAATAACTATACATAATCACATGAATCATGCAGTTGACTGCGACAGGTTGAAATATTTCACCCCCAGCTACCCATTTCACTCCAGCCCATGTTATCGGAATCATTGTACAATGATGATAGACATGTAACCATGTGACAAGATGTGTTCGACCACGAATTATAAAAAAGAATGTATCTAAACATTCTATCACTTTTGATATATGAAATAACCAAATAGCTCGAACTAACTGTAAAACAAAATAGAAAAGAGAAACAATTTCATATGTTACTTTCTTATTTAAAAAAAAAAAACTAGTCGGTAACTTATAGTGATGAAGATAGTTTCGTCAATACAGATTGATCTTGGTTGAAGAACTGGTAAAACAAAAAAGCATTGGATAAATAACCTGTTACGTTCTCAAATCCCTTGAAAGTGCATAGATCGAACACGGGGCAGGTAGGTCTCACGGTTACCCCTTTGATACCCATTTAGGTACTAAGAACAAATCATATCTTTTGACTTATATTTTTCATCTCCTATAGCTTTCTATTATCCGATGAGTAGCTGCCATTTACAGTACCATTTAGATAGTCTGAATATAAATTATGGCTTTATTTCTCTACTACATATTTAGTTATTTGAGAAATTGTTACTCTTTTCTAATATTTATTCAGTCATAATTTGAAGCTAGAACTATTTGATTGCACGTATATATATGCCCCCAAATGCCCTGGTACGGCCGAGAGTCAACTCTCCCTCTGCAAATGCTCACACATAGCCGCGTGCATACAACCACTGCTTTCTTGCAGCAGGACTGTTTATAAAATTGAGAGGACAAAAAGCGAATGTCCGGCGCTTTAACGAAACAAATGGCGTATGAATCTTTTGTTGGTAACGGTTATCACGCGACTGCATCTTCTAAAGTTGCTCCACTGCCTTTCAGATTAGACCTCTAGGTCAAAGGCTTCAGGTGTGGCCTCCTGAGAGAACCATCTGCCTTAGTTTGGGAACACGGGCAATATCCAAGCCCTCACATAAATTGAATGATTTGTGTGGTGCATATCTATTAGGTGCCTCTATTCACCAATTTTTATGTGTTTAAATAAATATGTATATATGGTGAACAGCTATTTGTAACACTTCAGCTCTCATTCGAGAAATAATTCCAGCAATTTCATCATTCACTTTAAGTATTTTCTCAAAGACATTGGTGAAACACAGTCTCTTGGTCGTACGCGTCGACATCTTCACTTACCTTGGGAGTCTGGTCAGCACTAATGGATTAGTGTCTGACGACATTACTGCACGGATTCAGAAAGTTCGTTTAGCTTTCGCCAATTTACCTTACCTATGGTGGAAGAGAAATATCCGTCTATCAATTAAAGAACAAGTATACTGAGTGGCAGTCCGTTCCGTTCTACTTTGCGGCTACAAAATGTAAACATTAAGTGTAGAGGATACACGTAAGTTACTTATATTTGATCACAGATGTCTTAGAAATATTGCTCGCATCTACTGAGATCACCGGATAAGTAACAGTGAAGTTAGACACTAGGTATTAGAAATGATGGTAAATCAGTTCATGAGGTTGTGAAACTTCATCGACTAAGGTGGTTGGGACACGTACTACGCATTCCCAACTACCGATTATCATGGTGCGCAATGATGATTAGTGTTGAAGACGGATGGAAGAAAGTCAGGAGCTACCAAACCAAAACGTGACATCAGTCAATAAAGTCACTAACTTCTGATCTGAGCCATGTTGTGACATGCAGACTACTTGTTTGGGGACCGTGCGACTACCGTAAGCGGTAGTTCGAGACTGTGTGACATGGCTCAGAATCGATCACAATGACGTAGGTGTGTACATTCTTTGTCTGCCCTTAAACCATGAAATTAAAATTGATTTACACCTTGTTTGTATGAACTAAGGCCTTCTACCTGTATCATATATTTATATGCAATCTTTTACTACCATTGAAGTAACTAATTCTATAAATTTGGTACTTGTATTGTTGTGCTAATGAGGTATGACAACTTGAACCGATGCATATATGTGCCTGGTTCTACGCTGTAAATGACAGGTTTCTCAAGATAAGCGTCTATACTTGCCCACTGAATTGCACCAATGTAGTTTAAATTGAAAATAAATTAATGGACAATTTGTTATAGTCTAGGAGCTAGGTTTTTAGGTCGGAACACTAAAGAGACGTTTGGCTTTAATCAAAAAGTCCCTGCATAACTATGGAAAGAACTGACCGTGTTAAAAATATTAGCAAATTATTTCAGTTCATTTTTGCGTAGACATAGCAAACAAAAGTTAATTACAAACGATACTAATGGCCTCACTAGGCGAATGAACACTGCAAGACCAGGAAAGATAAACAAGAATTAGATCTGCGTCAACAACGTACAATGTTCCAGTAAAAGAAGTCTCTTGAAACGACACGTGACGGTGACATTTTCCTACCCATGAAAGATTACTTACCCAGGCTCTTATTACCTTTTGCCTAGTTACTTTGATTATGGTTTCTTCCAGAAAACTCTATCTTTTATGTGATATGATAGTGATGTCAGCCACTGTTTTCAACTGCAAACGTACAGATTTTTCGTTGATTAGAGGAGTGGTAAATCTTTTCTAGCTTACAAGCATCTGCTATACTAGTTATATTTGTTTTATGACCTGCTAATCATATGTAGCATTTTAAGATTCTTCAACAGCTTTCAGTAAGGACTTAATCGAAAAATGATAACTTTATTCCAAAAAAGTGAAATATTTTTTCGGTCAAATTAGCTTGAACACACGATTTTTAAGCGAGAAATTAAAGTCTGCATATTTAAAATATAGATATTTGATCTGAAATGAGTATTAACGACATCTGTTATGCAAACATCTTAGCAAATCAATCGTTAAAGGTATATATAGTACGATATACACTATTTGTTCCCAATTTCCAGAAAATGGTTACTATGGGGCGTCTACGGAGATTTATTTAGTTGCACAATTAACTACATGGACTGATCTCAATTAAAAAACCATATAAGGCTACTTGGTAGTGTCCATTCACGACCTCACTACCGGGAACCTTGCCTAAGACCTTCAGTCTCGAGGCAATTTCGATCATTTTGAGCAATTTTTAAGCACAAAAGTTGGCATATATTTTATAGATTGTCTAGCTATGTGGTAAATCTTGTGAGATAATAAGGAATCAAACTATTAAGAAATCCCATAGTATGACTATCTAATTGCTCCGTATTTCTTAACATAAAACGCCTTAGAAGATGCTAAAGAAGTTGTTTTCGAACAACAGTAAGAGCCGGAATTTCTTGCTTTAATGAAAATTTAGTGAGATACATACTGAGAACATTATTTACAAATGACAGTTCAATATTTTATTTCGTTATCTTACGAAATTTTTCTTCAATACACGAGCAGCTACGATTTCATTGAAAACTAGTTAACATTTAGAAAGTCTAAAATTGTTTGGATTTTATAATTCACAAGTACAAATAATCTGTTCAAAACATTGGATCAAGCTTGGATAAATTAGAAAATTTCAGTAGTTAAGTCCAAAAGTATTAAGGGATACTATCAATGAATCGGAATTTTTGAAAGATTAAATTCACCGATTCACTTTATAGATTATGTCCGTAAAGTCAACAAAACCTGTCAATTGACACGATTAATGTCAGAATAAATTATTTCATTTAGTAATTAGTGGTATAGCACATAAAATTGTTTTGTGTTATCAAGCATTCTTCCCCTAAATAAATTTTGTATTGAATTTATATTAGATTAATTTTTATTACCTAGAAAACGGTCTTACCGTACAGATAAGAATAGTTTACTTATGACAAAAAAAAACTACGTCCTGTGATGATAAACAATATACAGTTTTCTATTGCTTATGTACTGAACATGAATTATTTGTCCGTACTTGTTTACACTAACCATAGTTATTGTCACTCAAAAAATTTCATGTGAATGAATGTATATCACCTTTCATTAAAAGTGAAGGTGCTCAATATGCTGATAGAACAACACAAAGCTATGAAGTTTTCATCATGAAGTATTTATAGAGTGTACACGATTATTTATTTTAGTATGTTTTGGGTGTGGGATTTTATGATTTGATAAACGAGTTTGGAGCTCATAAAATGAATGAACAGCCAGCTCTATATTTTCCGGGTAAAAAGGCAAGCGTCATTTCTGTGCAACAACAGATGCCCGAAATGTCTTACAGAAGAGAAATTAAGGTGAATAACTTTTTTCAGTTAATAGTAGAAGCAGTAGTTCAAATCTAATAATTATTTGTTTCTTCTCTTTATAATGAAGCAAGTGAGTCTGTACGGCCACAAATTTGAAGTAAACTAGATAAAGTATATTTTGCTTCAAAAATCAAATTTCTATTTTTTCACAAATCTGTTTATACACTTGGAAGCTTGATGTCAATAATGCTGAAATAGTGACCAAACCAACGACAATGAGAGCGGAGTAACCTGTTCAAGCTTGCTGTGATGATGTCTTATTAGAACAAACAAAATATACATTTCTTTGCATATTGGTGTGAAGGTAAATTATGTGCAACATAAGTTAGTAACAGAAGAACCTATATACATTGAACCTTTAATAAACTCACAAAATAACTTTTATATTAGCGTTGTATAAATCAAATATGAAGCTTTCTGAAAGAGTTGTGCAAACTGATAAATTTTTAAAATAGAACTAAGTGATGTACGTCCGATCACAATGAATAGCAGTGAGACTCATCTACAACGTAAAAGTGTATATGCTAAGCACTCAGCAGCACTTTCTTACATCAATACCTTGAATATCCTCTAGCTCCTGAAATAGTTACATGGGATAGAGATCAAAATTCAGTCAAGTTTGCGGACCTTCATATACTTCGATACGTGACATTGATTTAATTCCAGATTCAGTGAAAATAGTTTTATTTCGACAGTATAAAAACACTGAATAGACTGTTAAGTAAGCTATCACGAGCTTTACCAGCGAATTTTGGATGGAGATAAAAAGTAAAACGATTTTGACAACATTAAAGACACGCCATTTTGAGCGTCCTATAACTTCTAAAACTTAAAACTTGTCACTCAATCAATTTCTATCCAGTTTCAGGCTAAAGAGCTTTGATTTAATGGTAACTCCATAGAAACTGGCTTGTCCTCTTGTGGTCACTTAAATCTGCCAAGATCAGCCGTCAGCTGAACGCTTTATTGACGTATTTTTTCCAAACGCCTTCATGAACGTATAGATCTCGCTAACCACATGTATTGGAACAGAGTTCAATCCCAAAGCTGTTAATAATTCGACTCTTTTAGGATACCCTTCCATTTGAGTATTGCATTGGTACAACTCTCTAGGCCTACGTTTTAAAATTATAAAATTTCCTGTCGTCAGTGAATAATAATAACAAAATCTGAAATGCATTAGCAAACTAATTTTGAAAAGCACCGATAGTAGAAAGACAATACGATAATTAATAAAAGTAAATGGGTTTCGTAAACGGTAGAAAGTTAGCAACAAATTATGGACTTCTGAGGAGTGATAAATAAAGTTATTAAACATGTGTTAGATTTAATATTCCTTGACCCACCAGATTTAAGCACCACACAATAAGAATATAAGCCACATAGCATAAGAAAATACAGAGGTCCTATAGTCGTAAAGTAATGAAATAATCAGTGACAAACGGTACAATTTTTCGAGGAGATCGGAAAATTTTTCTCGACATTCGTCCGCAATACTAAGCAGGTTGACTGTATGCTTTTAAGCGCATACCTTAGTTATCAAGGCAAAAGTATAATATAGCTGCAATAGTAGGTAAATCCCTCAAGTAAACAGCTGTCAGTCTTTGATATTGATACTAATCATACAGGTTTAACTGGATACCCCACAAACCGGAGATGCTCAGTTAAAGCATTCGTATCAAATCACGTTTCAATATTTTGTGCGACGCAACTTCTCCGACAACCAGCCATCTCAGATTCTATACACTACGATACCCCTGCCTATAGTTCTGATATAGCATCTTACATTACATTCGATCTCTGACTTCACTGGTTTTTGAGACGTTTCGTTGAAAGACGTTCCGAGGGTAATACTAACAATTCTCGGGTGTTCAGTGTGTTTGGATAGTTTTCATACAACTATTTGTAGCCGGTATTATTACACTCCAAGTATTTATCAGTTTTCGAATCTGCAATCTACAGCTCAACAGAAAAAAGGATGCTTGCAGCGGAATTTTCGGGTTTTAAATCTGAAATCGGAGATCACATGAGTACTAGTAGTTAACAAACTGAAAAAGCAAAGACGATAAGCAGTGGTTCTTTTGGAGTTGTCATGACTAATCATTAGTAAGTGCTTATTTAATCAGGTGATAAGTTGTTGATAGGGCAGTATTAGGAACAAACTTTAAACAAAAACCATAACGATAAAAAGATCTCGAAATAGAAAAACCTACTCTCAAAGCGTTAGGATTTGAGCTGTAATCAATTTTCTGACAATACATTGAATAATTTTCATTAAATGCGACTGCTATAGATTCATATACCATATAGGCATTCATAACTACCATGATCCAATCATACACAAAAACGAGTCCATTTATACGCAGAGGATTCCTTCCTTTCATGAACTTTAACCCATAATGAACTAATATTAGGTAGGCAATGATCACATATAATAAACCATTCACTGAACTCATTAGGAACATCGAAGAGACTCTGGGGTCTATATGGGATACAAACACATCCTAATCGATAAATACCTGCTCTTTCCATGCTTGTTTTAAAAATCCTGTTCATCCAGTCTATATATTCACCTACTACGTTCATTTCCAATAGGCGATTAGAAACAGATGACAGAAAAGAATCTGTGTGATAATGTTCAATGATAAAATTGACAAATTAAAACAGAATTACGCGATTCAGTTTTCAATATCTTTTGCCACAAGTTACTACAAACAGATATATTTCTTTTTCTCTGTTTCTTTTCTTTTTGATAAAACTCTAGACATCTGGCAATGTACAGTTGATGGCAGTCTAGCCATTTGATAGCACCAATTTGTGGATGTGCATACTTAACAATTCCAGTGAGCGCAATTTTCTCTGAGCAGTTGAGCTTTTGGATATCAGCAGCTATCACAGCGCTGGGCAGGAAGTTGTTTGGCTGCGATATGGAAAATAATAAAGTGGTAATTCAGGCAGTATTAGAATGCGATCGTTTCAAGGAAAAAATCAATAAGTTAATTTATTGGTAATGGAGACAGTATGACAAGGCCGAAGTTAAAACTCATATAACAATAAGCGGAACAGAAGGTAATTACTGACATGTTAAAGTGATAACATTAGTAGATCATGAGACATTAATTCGGCACAACTGATCCACGTGGGAGAAAGTAATCTGTGGATGAGTACATGTTTATCAAATCTCCTATTTAAGCTATACACTGAGGAAGCTACGTTTGCCTCTACTAAGAGAGGACATCTAGTTATGACAAATTCAAATCAAAAAGTGGGGAGTACCTGGTGTTTTCACTTTCTGGTATGCAATCTTTTAAGCGTCGCCCCAAATAACATGTTGGTAATTTGTTGTCATCGAATTTTAAGCCAACTAATAGGTCAACATTTGTAACATCAATGACTGATGATTCAGTACCTGACAGTTTTGAGCCTTTATCTTCTGAACCGTGAAAAAATATCACTATTACTACCCGGTTCTTCACGTGACAACCCCCCTATCTTTTCGTGCAGTATGCTGACGGTAAGACTGGCTGACATAAAAAACAATATACCCACGTGCATCAAAAAGTCAACACAGCCTACCAGACAGCATGATTTACTAAGACCTAAATCTAAAATTCTAAAAACTAAAGCCTCTGATAGTTTATCTCATACATATGAAAACGTTGATCGACATAGTACTGATATCCGTCAGTTACAAAACTTTCTAGTCGAAATTAAAGGTAGACTTAGCCAATTAACGCCTCCCATACACATATGAGACCTTAATACTTTTAGAAATTTTGAACAACTCACTAAAGCTGAGTGAATTTTAAAGTTTGTGCCTGAAGAAGTGATGAAAAGAGTGATGTCATCCTACAAAGCAGTTGCATACAATCTCCCTGACCGCACACACCAAAAATAAGTTAAGGGATATTTGCCTTATAGCATGCGGTATAGCAAACGTCAACTGCCAAGTCATCCGCCTTCGAAAAAGTTAGACAGATAGACATACCCTCTACTGTTTAAATTTGGCTGTTGTAAAGATGCTAAACAGTTTATTGATTCCAGCAAAAATATTAGCTCAATAATTCCATACAAAAGCACAAAAGTCACCCCAGACCTTACGCCCTGTCAACGTCGTGTAGGAAGACGTAAAACGACAGGGTTGCATGGTAGTGTTACAGTAAATAATCAGCTGGAGACAATTTTCAGCACAGTAAATAGATAAAATCACATGAACAATAAGCATAACATCACTCTACGAACGGCAATTCACTCTGTAGATCTAGATGCGTCTGCTGATCAGAAACCTTTGGATAAGTCACGGACTCCAACTGTTACCAAAAAACATAACGACATTTCTAATCCCGGCTGTTCGCTCAGTAAAGTACTAACCTGTGAGCCGTGTGACAACATACATCAAACTAAACATATACACTTGATAATTAGACCTCCTAAATATACTCCACAAGTTGGCTCGAATGAACCCAAATTCATCTCACAGAGACGACGAAACTCTCCGGCTACGACGAAAAAGGGTGGGAGGACATAACTCAGGATACCGAACGGAGAAACACGTAAGATTGAACCTAACTGCTCTATAGATATCCCAACAACAGTGAACAGGTTCTCCCCACTGATATCATATAACTTGCCGCCAGCACCTCTTAGTTGCTAAACGGATAGTAGGCTTAAGCGTAACAAGTCCTTTTGCACACGGATTAACAAAAACTACCAGGGCCCTGATCATTCCACTCACCCTCTAAAACCTAAAACCATTATTAGGCATGTTAATAATAGGTTTCTCACCCCACATTCAGTCTAGATTCTCCAGGATCACAACTGTAATTAATCTCAGGGAGAAAACTTTTCGCACCCTTCAGTACCAACACACTACATAAAAACGGCTTATATATCTACCTACATTTACGTGTAACAGACCCTCCTCACGCTAACGAAGGTAGCTATAACAGATCCTACGAGCTCAACCATCAAATCCGTTTTGCAAATGACAATACACCTCACAGTCGACCTGCACCAGATTATTTTTTGAATACGGTCCCTAATAGCACTTCCGACGAAACAAATAGCCCATGTCATTTCAATTTTGGTTTGTAAGCAGCTGACGAGAAACCTCGTAATAATATGAATTCATACTATTCTGCATCAATGTTTGTTCTTGCTCTATTTAAATAGATCACTTGATAACTATTTACCATATCCGAGTGATAAGTTTAGAGGACGAGGCGGAGAGTGCTTTATTTACGCTAACTCTATAATAATAATCTATTCTCAAATAACAGTTTGTTACATGAGGCATGCCAGTTTACAGGCAAGATCAAATTGATACAAACGATACAATATTATGTGATATGCCTGAATTAAACAAACTGAAGGATTTGGTGTGAATTGTTTTAAAGCCATCAATTTCCGTTATCTTACTGTTCGTGTGTCTACCGTCAACCTAACGCACCAACAGGTCAAGCATTAGTATTATCGGAAGTATTCACACTAGCACCATCCCTCCTTATTCACAGGAAAGCTTATTTGTGGTGACTTCAACATGCCTGTAATTTCTTGGTTCCCAGCCAAGGCTCCAAAAGGTTATGAGTCATTTATTGAATGTCCAGAGCTTGGACATTGAACTCAGTATGTCAGTAACCCCACCAGACATCGAAATATCTTGGACTTAGTTTTTACCAGTGGCCCCACCCCGATACTATGTATATTGAAAAAAAGTTTCCAGGTAGTGATCATAACATTGTCATATGTAGCCTCAATATAAAATCCACAACCGGTAGAAGTAAAACTGTCGCATGGTTGTTTGGAATAACTTCCACAATTACCTAAGAAGCACTGATAAGGGAACTTTCTTTACTGCAAACAATACCAACACACTAACCAATATATTTTATCACAACATCGAAAGTATCATCATCAGATCGCACCTTTAGAATACCGGAGACCTAAGTTCTCTAAAGATCTGCATATACCGGTTAGTTCACGAAAACGTATTCAAAGAAATTGTACTCGATTCCACAACTCCAATTACTTTTCCCCTTTAGTAACGATGACAGAAACATTTGTCCGAACGGAGACAATACGTACACAGAAGATAGTAGCACAAAAAAACGTGCTGTCGAACTTAATAATAACTCCTCTGCACTTACAATACTCGTTCAAAATAAACTTAAACGTTCTAAATCGAGAGGGAATATATTTATTAAATACAAACAAGTATACGAAGATCCTAGACTTGTTACGGAACTATTCAGTGCACAGTTATGTTTCGCATTAACTAAAGGAAAACCAATAAATTATTCAGAACCAATCCAAGCACCTCCCTGTAAAATTACTAATGTTGACTTCAAAGTACAAAATATCTATAAGGCAATTAGTACATTGAAACAATTGTGATAATTAAAAGTATTTGAACTACAGTACAAAATAAAAATCCCAGAAATAACTCGATTAGAACAAGAAGTACTATATAACCATGAACGAATGTACAGCATTTCGAATTCGAATTAAATCATTCAACAAGTACAAAGGAATCATTGGTTCAAACACCATATCTGCCATATCTTAAATTAGACGCAAAGTGTCTGTAAACGACAGTACGTCTTCTTCATAAGTTCATCCTGTGTTTGTTCGAAAGTGAATTGGGTAAAAAACTATATTATATAGAATGCACTCATCAGTATTAGAATTAACAACCGAAATCGGAACATACTCACATGCTTCCTGAAATTGTGTACAATCACTATGTCGATTGTATGCTGAAACCGCTGCTACCTAGAATTCGAACCACAGATTTTCCAACAATATCCTCCTCCATGAAATAATGTTGAATCTTCGTATCCCCAAGTTATGAATGATCTGGCTTCATTTTAAACATGTTTCTCACATTGAATAGAGTATACATTTGAAGTGACTTCTTGATAACGATTTACAGCAGTTGATATGAAATCATCTGGATTGTGACAAGAATCGAGCTCATTTATTACGTGTGCTTAGCACTGGACAAGTTTCCTACAAGAAACAAATGCATCATGAAGACAAATAATATTTGATATGACATCAAGACTCGATTCTTGTGAAATACTTTCTCCAAATTTATTATGAATGTCATTGTAGAGTAAAACATCATTAGAAAAATCAGCATCTATCAAAACTACATCAGGCTTTCGATCATGATTAGATTCACCCAAAATATTTCCCTTAGATTTGTAACGAATTTCATCAGAAATGTGTGAATCGTTAGAATAAACCATATCTGGTACAATAACATGAGAAATCTGATATGTTGATTGATTAAGAGATAAGAGTATCCATTTGAATCTGTTAAACGTCCTACCAAATCCAGATGAACATGGTGAAAAAGAGCGTGTGGAGTTTTGAAAGAGCCTAAGGGACATTCGTTGTGTCTGAGAACCTTAGATTTTTGGCAGCTTACACAGGAGCGTTCCAACTCCCTCACGTCTTTATTCATACCAGGCCAACAAAACCGTTCTGCTACAAGCTTGATGGTTGCACGACCACCTGGATGAGAAAGTTTGTGCAACGTATTGAAAACATCACGTCGATAACGTTTAGGCACGATTGGGCGATCCCTATCTGTAGACCTGTTACACTGTAAGGTTTCCTTACTTGTTCCCATCTGTTTGATGCGTAGC